TCTTGTCCTCTCCTCCCAGGATGGGCAGGAGGCTGAGGGCTCGACTCCCTGGATGACTTCTGTGGTCCCAGGCAGGGGCTCCAGCATGCTGCAGCAGGCCAGCGTGCCGCTCCTGTCCAACGCGGAGTGCAACAGCTTCTGGGAAAGAGAGATCCCTGACATCATGGTCTGCGCCGGGACCAACAGTGTCACCACCTGCATGGTATGGCCCTGATCATGTGGCCCCGTCAGGCTGAGGCCCTATCCCCCAACCCCCACTCCGTAACCCTCAGGCGATTCCTTGTACTGGAGGGGGTGGTGGGGAGCAAGACCAGCACTGACCGTGCCCAGCAGCCAACTGGCCCTGGGCACACATGGGGGGTCTGTCCACGATTTACTCTACACCGTCCTCCTGAGTTAGAGTTTCCAGCCCATAAACAGACCACAGCCCCAAGCCCCTTGAGAAGATGAAGGTTTCTAGGTATCGCTGTGCACACATTTTATTCCTGGCAATGCCTGTCCGAGCCAGGTGGGGTGCACAAGGATGTGGCAGAGTTGCAGACAGGTGCTTCTCCTCCCACAGGGTGACTCTGGCGGCCCCCTGGTCTGCAAGAAGGACGGAGCCTGGACCCTCGTGGGCCTCGTGTCCTTTGTCAATGGGGTCTGCCTTGCCACTATTCCTACTGTTTTCACCCGTGTCACAGAGTTCATTCCCTGGATTCAGGAGATTCTCACCCAAAACTAAGCCCTAGTTCCTCCTGTGCCTGAGCTTCCATATATAAAGCTGTATTCAGAAGCCGGCACTGCTTGCTTGTCTGTGCCTGGGGCGGTGGCTGCAGTGCCCCTGTCCCCCACCAGGGGGCGGCGTGCCCCTCCCTTTCCAGCTCAGAGCCCAGAGCTCCTGTTTGTCAGGAGCTGAGGCCTTTGGGTCTGGGCCTCCCTGCTCAGGGGGCCCCTGGGGGAGAGTCCAGGACACCTGCTGCTGCCTCTTTTCTCAGCCTGGCTTCTGCTCCTTTGGCAGCTGGGCACAGGGAAAGGTGATTTGTGGAAGGCACAGTGCTCAGGCCAGGTCATGACTCCCTCCAACAGGGAGGGCACTGTGATCAAGAGGACCCCCAGGCAGGACTGTCCCTCGGCACCTGCT